GATTTACACTTTCTTAGTACTGTCAGCATGACTTAGGGGTTTGTCTATCTGTTGGTGTTTGGGAATCCTGTCTTGTGTGAAGTGCAGCAGGCTGTTCTTGGAGCTCCTGACTTGGGGGGCCCAGTCACCAGAGCCTGGGCAGCCCACCAGCTCAGCGCTGCTTTTAGAGCTTGAGAACCGCATTTTTAACTGCCACTGGATACTCCCTTTCAAAGGAGCAACAAGAGCCAGAACTCAACAAGCAGTCGCTGCCTCCTTGCTTGATGGAGAAGATTCAAAGTACCCCATCTTTGTTCAGGTTGCCTGCGAGGTTGAGAACACAGCCCAATCCTGGCTCCACAGCGAGTAAGCCGGCCAAGAAGTGAGCCAAGAGCTCCTGCCGTCTTCCTCAACCCTACCTCGCCGGCCCTGCTCACCTCGCCGGCCACTCTCGCCCCTCAGCTGTTTCCACTCTAAACAAGCCATGCCTGCTCTCCCCGCTGTGCTTGCTGGCAGTGAGTCCCCCCTCCCATTTGTCTCCTAACAAACCTCTTCTGACTGGAGTCGAGTCTAGCAACTGCCTTGGTTTTGTTCTCACACTGCCTAGTCTTTTCTTCCTAAACATTCGTTTTACTGCAAAAGCCAAGAATAGGCGGGTTACCTGTGGTTCTGAATTCTAGCGCCAAGTCACTCAGGCTCGACCATTCCCTAAGTACCAAATTCAAACGTTTTCTCCACCACCCCCACCACCTGTGACAACTTCCCCATTAGCTTTGCGTCCCTACATTTATGTGCCCCAGGCTCCCCCTTTCTATGCCGCTCCCCACACCCTCCTAGAAGTCAGACTCTTCTAAGCGTTGTCCTTCATGCTGGACACATGAGGTTCGTACTCCTTCTCTCACACAAATTTGCTTGCTAAATCTCATCCCCTCCTCTCAGGCTTCTCGTTCTGGTTCCAGCAACTTTTTAAAGGTCTTCTGAACCGTCCTTGTTTTGCACGCTAACAGCGGGGAACCTCCAACGAGCTCTCCTGGTGAGAGCAGCTACATAAAGCCTGCACCACGTGTTCCCAGGATGGCGTGCGCCAGGTGCTCGCCTCCACGGGCGGGGCCCTCGCCTGTGCTGGACTCCCAGGATGGGGTGGGGGCCAGGTGCTCGCCTCCCACGGGCGGGGGCTGCGCCGCGTGCTCACCTCCCGGGCTGGGGCGCACCACGTGCTCGCCACCACGGGCTGGGCCCTCGCCTGTGCTCGACTCCCTGGATGGGTGGGGGCATGGGGTGGGGGCCAGGTGCTCACCTTGGAGGGCGGGGGCTGCGCCGCGTGCTCACCTCCCAGGCAGGGGCGCACCACGTGCTCGCCACCACGGGCGGGGCGGGGCCATGTGTGACGCACGCCACAAAGCTCTGCACCTGGGACGCCGGCTCCTCTTGGAGTGTTTTCTCCGTTAGCGAGAGTCAGCTGTGTACACAAGGGCAGTCCCTTCTGACTCATGAATTAGATGTTTGTACAAACTGCTGCAGGAAGACAATGCAGAAAAGACCCTAAAGTGGAATAAAATGTTTTCAGCTCAAGTAAGAATTCAAAAAAGACACTGGCTGTCTTGGTCCAAGGACGGGCTGATGTAATGCATTTCCACAGCCTGGGTGGCTCATAAAGATATTTCCTGCTCCCAGATCTAGTAAAAGATCAAGGTGCTGGAAGATTCCGTGTCTGGTATGGTCCTCCCGTGTCATAGATGGAACCTTCTTGATGAGTCCGCACGGCAGAAGGGGTGTGCATCCTTAAGTACCAAGGCCTTTTCTTTCTTCCTTTTAAGTTTTGATAAATGTCCTGTGACTATGTAGGATGTTAAGCATTAGGGGAACTTGGGTAAGGAAACAGAAAGGCATTCAACAATGACGAATTTATTTAAAAAAAAATAGCTGCATTCCTGTTCATGCTGGAGACTAAAGTCCTTTCCACGGTCAGTGTCCTCTCTCCAGGCTGACTCAAAGTGTTCATTCTTCCTGGGGATGGGCCTTTCCCTCACCTCCAGAGTAGCCCATTTCTGGCCTCTTCATAAATCCCTGACAAACACGGATGAAAACGTACCAAATGTTACAAATTGTTTTTAGATTTATTTGAGAGATTTACAGACAAGGAGAGAGAAGCAGAGTCCAAGAGAAATCTTCCAATCGTTTATTCACCTTCATGCTGAGCAGCCAGGGCGAGGCCAGGATCTCCCAGGGGCAGCAGGGGCCCACGGACTTGGGCCTTCCTCTGCTGTTTGTCCCAGGCCACCAGCAGAGAGCTGGATTGGAAGGGGAGCAGCCAGGACACAAACCATTGCCTATATGGGAATGCCAGTGTCATACGTGGAGGCTTTACTGCCTATGTCACAATGGCCCTTAAACGTTGAACATTAAAAAAATCAGAAAGCAAATGTAAATTGAGACTGAGAATGTGGGCATTTGTAAGCTGAGCCGGGTTCCCAGCCAGGGTCAGGGCGGCCCAGCAGTCCGTCAAGTACAGTAAGTGTCCATTTCTCCTCAGCTTCATCTTCCTCATCCCTGGCTCTCCCAGGCTGCTAGCTTCAACTGCTGTATCAGCTACCCACCCCAAGCTGTCCAGATTAGGTCACTTGAAACACCCAGTGACACGGACAAGAGAAAGAAAATGGATCATCCTTCTCCCCTTGACCTGGCCCTGGCTCACCTGCTACAGCTCAAGGTGGACCCTTGTGTAACAATGTGACACGGTGCAGCCTTCTGCACTGTCCAGCGGCCAGGCTGATTCCAATGGCAGGAGTTTCAAGCCAGGTAAGGGGAGCCAGGTCAGCCTGCCAGATGGTAGCGGGTAAGCAGGCACAGTGGATCAGGTGTTAGAATCACAGCTGAGAAAGGAGTCAGGTGAACTGCATCATGCATGACCAAGTCCTGTTCTAACAGCCCTTAGTAGCAGTCTTTGGATGTGGACTTAGCAGGAATTCTCCTTGAGTTGCCATTCCCCACCCGCTAAATTCCACCCTTCCCCTGCTAAGCCGTCGCTCTTACAGCAGTCACGATCAGGAGGAGAACTAATGGTTTCTGAGGAGACTTCCACCTAAGATATCAGAGGCAGGGGAGGGGGCATGGAGAGAGGGTGCAGTGTGGAAGCAGGAACTTCTCAGCAGAGTAGCTGATTGGAAACTACTCATAGGAGATCATGAAAAAGCCAAGGAGAGGATTCTGAGTGTTCCCAACACTGCAGTGACCGACCTGAATAGTACATGCCATCCACGTACACTGAAATACTAGCAGTACCACACATTTACAAATATGTCCAATAACCAGGTGTCTGTTACAAGACAGATGTAAAAAGATACTGCAATCAGAATGATATCCTCAGGTCCACCCATGAGCGAAAGCATTCACCAGGTCATCTGCAGCCAGTAACAGACAGATGAAAGATTCAAACTCAAGGTTTTCCCAGCTCCAAAATTTCTGTTCCACTTTCTTACAAGTGACCCTGGCTTGCAGGCTTTAGACTCTCATGGCATCAGGTTGTATAGAGAGGGGAAGGTGGAGTGTCAGGATCTTAGTGGCACCCCCAACCCACACCGCCACTGCCACTCTAAAAGGAAGCTGGAGAAGGGAAGGGCAGGTGACGGGGTATCTATGGGATGGTCCTGCCTCAGCAAGGATAGAAAACAGCATTGTCCCTTCTATCAGGGAATAATGTTCCGAAGGCTTATGCTCAGCCACTGCACCCAGCCACTGGGACTCAATCCCCCCCTGTACACACGCCACAACGAGAGGCAGAACCATTTAATATATATAATGCCTTTTCCCTCCATAGACATCAGCATAAGTTACAAATATCATTCACTTCACAAAATAAAACCATTTCCAGATCATGTCTGACAGTACCAAAAGTACCTAAGCTACAACACATCAGTACAGCTGGGAGGAACGGTCACGGGGGGACGGGGACCAGGCTGGACGGCTTGAACCCTCATTGCGGGACCCTTCTGCAGGGCACCCAGAGGTTCTCTTCTGATCACTCCAGACAAGACAGGGGCGTGACTCTGCTAATCCTCGCAGACAATCAGGGGGATTGACATTGTAAGTGGATTAAGAAAAAAAATGCCAGGTGTGCTCTTCTTGACGCTTTTAAATAATTCACCTATGTTACAAAACATAGACATCTTGATGGGAACGGCTCATGCGACCAATCAGATAGCATGACAGAAATCAATGCAATCATGACCCAGACAGATCTACTTTTCACAAGGAGGAGTAGAATGTCTTCTTCAGTCCTTTAAAAATAGGCTTGTTTATAAAACGACCAGTGATGCTGCAGATTCATTTGTCAGCGGTACAGAAACATGACAAGCATACAACCTACCATTAACAGATACAACTCAGGGGGTGTGGCCGGACACAAAAGAAGAAAAGGGACATCTTATTACACAGCCCAGATGCATCCAATGTCCTGCAACCATTATGTGAAATGACCACACTAGGCACATTCCAGACACACACTACATGGAAAGGCTAGGGCTGATTCCAAACGTACTTTGGGACATCACAAGATTTTTTTTTTTTTATGGAAAACAAGATCTGTGGCTATTTCAAACCATCCCACAATGGCTATAAACATATACTATACGAGAGCAGGATGTCCGTGCTTATGAGCAAAAACTATCACAAGCAGGGATGCACGTGGCAGGTGGAATTTCACTGCAAAGCACTAATAATCAAGACAGAGGTATGTCAAGATAATACTGCATTGGTGACCAACTTTTTCAGGGCATCACAGCAAGAACGTGGGACCAGGAACACAGGGCAATAATCAATGCACTGCATTGAGTTCTATTTGCTAAAATAAAATAACATTCTTGCAGCTCAAATAAAAAATACATTTTACAATATAGGCTTCATTTAACATTTAACATATAGCATTGTCTTTTTTTTTTTGAAAGTGAAAAATGTAGAACTGTATCAAGTACCTTTATGGATTAAATTCCCTTTTATTACTAAAACTGAAGTTTAAAGGTCTATTTTTTTTAATAAGTTAAAGAAAGATTTATTAATCGCTCTTCCAGCAGAATAGATATACATACGAGGCACGGCGAAAGACCCAGGGTGACAGCCTGTTCTTGCTCTCACCCATGTTCTCACGTGGAGGACGGCGTGTCTATGAGACACAGCATCTGACTCCGTGATCCACAGCGGTCCAGGGGATTCTCTCACTTGCTTGAAAAACAAACCAAGCGCAAGCAATGTTTTTATTCCTTTAGCTGAATCAACTTAGATGGGACCGGGGGGCCCTGGAGCTCATGTCTCCGATGGCTTAGAACAAAACATCTTCATTTTCTATCAAAATCTGCACAATCAGCTTTTGGTACCGCATGTCATGCAGGGTGGTGAGGGTGCTGTCCTCCGGGGGCCTCATCAGGGTGGGCCCAAACACGATCCCCAGATTTTCGGCATTCATGAAATTGTCCTTCTCATTCATGGTAACCCTGCAAAGCACACACAGGCAAATCATGTCAACCTGTGGACGAACAAAGAAGCTGAAGATGTGCCTGAGTCCTAACAACATGTTTAGGAAACTGCAGAAGTGAATGGAGAATCAGAATGGCAGAGGGTATTTATTTTTTACAAAGGTAAATTTTCTAATTTATTGTTCCACGTTTTTGATATCAGAGGTTGTGGGTATGTAGTACGGACATAATTTTTAACTTCTTACTAATTAAAGATGAGGCTATCAACTCAGCATTATCAATTTGAAGGGACAACAGGTATTTGTTGGTCTGTGGTGCCAGCCATTCTTCCTTCTGTCACTTCCTACAGGTCTATGTGCAGGAGGGTGGGTGTTGAGAGCAGTCATCCTGTTTGCTGGCACAACTAGTGCCAGGAGAGAAAGGTTTCTGGTAGCCTGGGCTGCCAAGAATTTAGGAAGGGCCAGGCCATTATCCTGGAACAGAGCAAAGGCTGGAAGGTGGCCAAACTGGAAGGTAGTTGGACATTACTTCTAGTTCCTGCAGGATGAGGTCTGGAGCAGTAATTATGGCTGAAATGGAAGAGTCAGCATTGCAACATCCAGATAAAATCAGCAGCACTTTCAGGAATGACACTCCAAATGGTTTAATACTTTCCTACTGGAACAGTCTCCCAGATTCTTGGCTTCAGGAATTCAAGCTCTAGAATGTCCATAAAAGACCTAGAAGAGGGTAGGATCCTCAAAGAGCCCCCCCCCCCCAAAAAAAAAGGGAGGTGGTGAAAGTTCTGCACAGAACATCCTCCCTTTCTGTTTATTTAGAGTTTGTTAGGATTAGATATGCAGCACATGCAATGCTACTTTGGGAAGGTCAACCAGTTTTCATCATTTTCATGCTGCAGAGCTAAGCAGCAGCAAACTAAGCATCATTCACCACCAGTGTGTTCACTGTTCCCTGTGAACTCAAGCACTACGGGATCTGTTGAAGCAAGGCAAGCCAACCCACTACAGTAAATAAGAAATCATCAGCACTTAAGATTCAGCTGGCAAAGGTCAGCATTTTGAGAGTGGTACTTTGCCCTGCAAACTGTAACCATTCGACATTGATCTCAGTAAAGGAAATAAAAGCTAGGCCTGACACTGATAACCATTTACTTATCTCAAAAATCATTTATTCTTTTACATTCAATACAGCTTCCTGTTTCCAGACATGGCCACCTGGAATGTGAGCAGCAATATTTGTATGTCATAGAAGGCAGAAAAAAAAAAAAAAAAGACAACCCAACCTTCTCCAGCTAGTTTCTACAGTGTTCCCAATGTACTTCCTTTTACTTGACTGAGTGGATTTGTGAATTGGCTAAGGTAGACACTTTTGCATTCACTTTAATAACGGGCTCTCATCAGGGATCTTCCAAAAACACAGTGAGGCACACAGATGTGAATCCTCCAGCCTCCCACAGACCCACCTGTCAGCCTTATCATCCATGAGCAGTACAGGAAATAGGCATAATGTTTACAGAAAGGAATCTGGATCTGCAGACACAGTGTCCTGAGAACATCCAACGAGACATCTCACACCCGTCTCAACAGACGGTCCCGTGCGTGGTGGCCACCCTCTGAGATGGCGCCCAATGACCCATGCCTCCTGAATTCCACTTTCCCTTCCCCTACAGAAGGGGCTAGACCTAACCAATAAAAACGGTAAGGGCAATGGGATGTCCCTGCACGAGTAAGCTACAGAAAGGCCCCGTTTTGAAGTCCACTGCTCTTTTGTGAGCTGCCCACATGAACAAGGAGCTGAGGAAGTCAAATTTTTAGTATTCAGCCTCCAAGGCATGATAGCCTGTCAACAATCACAGGAGTGAACTTGGAAGTAGAGGCTTCCCATCAAGTCTTGAGACAACCTTGCAGGCTGGCTGATGGTTTTAACACAATCGCATTAACGGCCCTGAACCAGCAGCATCTAGTTAAGCTACATCCATATTCTGGCTCATACGGAGTATGAGATAGTGTTTTTTTAAGTCATTCAGTTATGGACAATGTTTTCCCCTGGCACGCATGCAGGGCTGCGGTGCAGAGCAGGAAGGTAAAGAGAATAGAGTGCAGGGCTCATGTTGGGGGAGAATGTAGGTAGAGAAGTAGTGTAGACAAATGGTTTAGCGCAGAGGGTGAGCCCTGTGTGAGTCTGAATTTCCAGTCTGAATTTCACCTCTTCAGATCAGCAAGGTCATCTCCCTAAGCCTCAGCAATTTCCCATGTAGTGTAAGGCCTCTCACAGAGACAATATGTGGAAAATGTCGGGGGCCACTCCTGGCATAGGGAGAGCTCTTGCAATTCAGATGGGGGCCTGGCCCAAGGAAGGCAGCAGAGCTCACTGTTGAGGAGCACCTGCCCATCCAGTGTGTTGGGGACAAGGGCTGAATAAGTTCTGGACATGGTAACTGCCCCCTAGGGCAGTGCAGAACAGGTAGATGGGGCCTGAACTTACTTTTTGAGATGGATCATCAGGTATCGCAGGGTCTCATAGTGGGCGGGAGGCAGCAGCATCAGCACTTCATGGACAGCCTCCAGCCTCTCGTCTGCATTGGAGATTTCTGCAGAGAACACACGTAAGGGATATCAGTGCAGGCTGGTAATATTCAATGTGTCAGAGAAGTAGCAAGAAGTTGGCTTTTAGCAACAAAGGAGGGGTCTGTGATGGTTAGACATAGTTTGGTTATTTCCCAAGGGTCCATTGTCAATGATTTGGGACCCAAAGTGGTGCTCCTGGATGGTGGTAGAAGCTTTAGGGAGTCCTGGGGTCATTGGGGTCATTCCCTTGGAGGACTTGCCCACCACAAGATTGTTGTAAAAGCCTGGTTGTGGCCTTAGTCTTTGTTTCTTCCTGTATTCTGGCTCACCAAGGTATCCTTCCAACATTGACATTCAACCATGACCATCCCTCACCCTCACCAGAGGTTGGATCAATGGGGCCACCCAAATCTTCAGATCTGAACTTACAACACTCTGGGCCAGATAAGACTTATCTCTATAAACTGAGTTGCCTTAGATATCTTAGATATTGAGGTAATACCAAGTTAACTAATCGAATTTTCTAATAAATCCAGTACATTCAGGTACTGTTTCACTTGATGAGTTTGTTCTTGTACTGTCTCATTCCAGAGTTTGAGACCGTGCACCACATGCGTAGTGGACGTGGGGAGCTGGAGGCTCTTTTGTTGCCTGGGGAGTTGCAGTCCAGTGAAGTGCTCAGAGGCTGGGGTACAGGTACACGCTGTGCTTTACCCTTCTTCTGAACTGGGTTTTCCAGACATCTCACTATCACAAGCTTTACTCCAAACCTGACCGCTTTGGATGGTTGGTCCCTGAAGTCGCCTAACAAGTCTGTCCCTGGCAGGCTTCCATAACCCAATTGGTTCTGCAACACCAGGGCATTGGCAGATGAGTCAACCACCGCAGCCTGCATCAACAGCACTTTTCACCCAACTGCTGGCAGGGCTGGCCGTGGTGTAATCCCTGGTTAGGAAGCAGATACTGGGCAAATTAACAATGGGAGGAAGAATGCATGCTTCTGTGTTTTCAGTCCCTGATTAATATTGGCACCCATCCAAAGAAGGTCTTCCTATCATTTTGTTAGGGTGGAGGGTCTCCAGCTTCCAGAACCTTCTCTGCTTAGGACCACCAGGTTCTTACCAGGGAATAGGGCCTCAGGTCCCCCAGAAAGAGTACCTGGTACAAATGCCAGGCTGCCTTGATATCTACCCTTTAGGCAACTCATTACTATAGTTGAACAGTACAACATTAAAGACAAAAACCTCTCCAAAACAAACAAAAAACTCATTCCAAATGGGCTTGACTTCTTTGTCATGTGCCCCAGCATCTGAATCTTTCATTTCTCCTTGTCGGTCCCTAAGCAATGTGTCAGCCCCCATCCCCTTCAACCCTGAGGTTCTCTTCCTGTCAGCTCTGGGCCTGGGTGCCACATACCAAATGAGCCAGCACAAGCTGGAGAAGGCCAAGGCTCACCTCCTTGGACCTGTGGGCTCAGCTCTCCATGCCTGGTTTTTCTTCTCCATGAAATGGGGTTATAATATTTGCTTTTGTGTGTAGATAAGAAGAATAAACCAGAAGATACTGAGAAGAAATCCCTGTGGAGTACCTGACCCAGTACATTCTTGGTCTTTATGCATTTTGAACAGCATGAATGGGTCTGTTTTCACCACTGATTAGCAATGAGATTTTGCTCAAGAGATGAAAGACATTAATCAGCATAGGCCTCACTGATGAACATCTGATTTCTTTTCTTTTCTTTTCTTTTGGCTACAGAAATACTCACACATTCAAGACAGAATAGAATAGGGTTGACTGAGCTGGTTCCCGGCACACAAGGAACAATGATAGGAGACATCAGTGCCTGACACCCCACTTCAGCCCTGCAGGGTTGGCTCAGCACGGGTGCAGCTCAGCTGGGGAGCCACGCCTGGCTCGTTGCTAATGAGGCTGTTGTGTCTTCACTTGGTAGCACAAGCATTCATGCAGTACTTGCAAAAGAACTGAGTTTAAATGTTCTCGAAACTAAAAGCAATGCACCAAGAAGCTGGGTGCCTACAGTGGGTTTCCCGCACTTACTGGCTGCCTCTATGAATTTGGAATAGGTGTCGTATGTGATGACAGGGATGGGCAGGTCTCTGAAGTACAGTTTAAGAGCTCCAGTGATGATGTTGATGTCTGGGTATATGTTGGCAGAAATATCTGCTTTTTCTCCATCTGCAAAACAATCAATGATCCAAGCTTTAATTAGGACGTTATTTCACCAAGTTAAAGCATGCCCAGGATGGGGGAGAGGGGAAGAAAGCTCTAGCAATGACTGCTTCCGGACAAGCTTCAGCTCACCTTTTTGACTTCTAATTACACTGAGGTATTATGAAAAGGGGTTTGGTAAGAGTAAGGCTAGGGTGTGAAGGGAAGCCAGGCGAAGGAGAACTGAAGCAGGCCTGAAATAGTCGTTTGGGGTCCAAGTCCCTAATAAACTTTTGAATAGGAAACGGCACAACGATTTACAGATGGACACAAAGATTTCTAACAGAACCATGTAATTTAGATAAAGCTTTTAGAAGCTCTAATGTATTCTCACCAGGATTCTTCAGACTTGAACTTAAAGGCCACAGACATAATATGATTGCTGAACTACCCTAGCCCTTAGGACTTAAATCTGTGGAACTTTGACCTTGCTTTAGATACATGGGACATTAGATTTCTTAACATTTTAAATGATCAAAATATTGTTTTACTGTTTTATCATTCGCAAATACCTGTTCTAATGAACTATCACAGACCATAAAACTCTTTCGGTAAAGCATATTTCAACCATTTAGGGAGCTATATGCATCTGTTCCACAGAGCATTAAAATCAGCAAATGTGGTTCTGGAAATCAAAAAAGAAAGCTGCTGATGTACAGGAAACAGTATTGCAAAGTGGATGACCACACTGATCCCTTGCTTTACATATTTTGCGAACATGTTTGGAAAAGCCACCAGGTGCCAAGCACTGTCAAGTCCCAGTGAATCAAGGAAGAGGTTCTGTCTTCCAGCAGTCTGGTTAGGTAGCAGTTCTTGCCAGTCAGCATGCAATTTGGCAGTTTTATAAGGAAATGGCAAGAGTGCTATGATAGAGGCACGCGGAAAACCCAGAAGATATAGGGTAAGCCAACAGAAGTTCTTGGGTCAGCAGAGAGCAGCCAGGAAGGCTTCATGAAAGAGGAAACCCAACGAAACCACCCCCGATTAAAAGGCACTAGCCAGGAAGAGACACGAACGCATTCCAGACAGACAGAACTCTACAAGGCAAGGCGTTTCTTCATGTTAATAGACAAGCTACAGTTCAGGATGGCTGCAGGGTCAAGTGTAACAGGGAGGAGGAGCTGAAGACACATCTGACAGACTGGGCATGCTGGTGGTCACAGGTGGAGGCTTCCCCCAGGAGGCCAGGGGCTCCCTCGCTTGGCTGGCTGAACCAGAATGGTTTGGAATGTTCAAGAGAAATCCAGCTCCTTGGGATCAATGGGCTCTCTGGATACACCCCGTGGTAGACACTGAGACCTTTGGGGATGTCTGTCACGCTCATAAGAAACACAAGGTTTGCCCTGCTGCAACACCATGGCTGCTCTCCCATCTCTGCACTCTCTACTTCACAGCTTTGGAGATGAGGCCTCAGTGGGTCCTAAGATGGAGGGTGTGTGCAGAAGGGTGTATGGGTGCCATGTGTTTAGAGTCTAAGCATCCTCTAGGGAGGAAGAACTTTGGGGTTCTAAAAAAATTAATTTACTAGGACTGGCATGTGGCATAGTGATTGAACTGGTGTCTGTGATGCTGGCATCTGAAATGGGTGCTGCTTTGGGTCCTAGACGCTCCCCTTCCCATCCAGCAACCTGCTGTTGAGCCTGGGGAAATAACAGAAGATGACTTAAGAGCTTAAATCCTTGAACACATGTGGAAGAGCTGGATGAAGCTCTGGGCTCCTGACTTCCCCCTGGCCCAGCCCTGGTCATTGCAGCCATTGTGGAGTTAACCAACAGCTGACAGATCTCTTTTTAAAAAGAATGTTGCTCTGTAACTGTATTTCAAATAAACAAAATGATTCTTTGAAAAAGAGATTTTTCACAAGATTGATCTAAAAATTAATTAGCTAATTAAAAATACACACACACACACACACAGAGCCAGAATAGTTTAAACCCTCACTTCTCAGCTTCCTGGAGCTCTCAGCTGTTCTGAAACCCCATTCCCACTGTGGAGGGAACCTGGTCCCACCAGAGCGGCAGCCGAGGGTGGGGTGGACAGGTACACTTAGAGCACAGCTTACCTCTGTCAAATGCCATTTTGACATCTTCGATGTGCTCAGTGAACCCGGAGACTCTGTACAGTCCTTCTGACTTTAATCCTGAGAGAGGAAAGAGAGAGATGGGTGTGGGAGTCATTCACTTTAGCTTCCCAAAGCATTTTTTAAAAGACTCTAATTTCATATCTACATTGTGCTGTTACAAGACAGGAAAATCCCATCACACATTGTTGCATCAGAACTTGGACTTGTTGGTCCCAGTTTCCATGCATGTCTGCCTTTGTTAGCCTGTGCGGCAGTGGTGACTTCAGTAGTGATCGGATCATCCTGTCTGGCTGCGCCCGCCACCCCAAGCACCCAAATATATATATATATATATAAGATTCTTACCAACTGGTCCTTTCCTTTGCCCATTATACAACTGGATGCTTCTTTCATTGATGCCAGAATTAGCCTGGCTTTCTTCCTTGTGTCTTCATATGTGCTATAAACTATGTAGCACCAGGCTAGGCGCATCTATACCAAAGTGTATGCAACACATATTATCCTGATTTTATTGAAGATACCCAAATTTTATGATGTTTATGTTTAATTATTAATATGATATTTTGACTTGTTATATTATCATGGAGCTGATCATACAAACAATTATGAGAAAATAAACTTTATTCATTGATTCTGGATATTTAGTTATGACATAGTCTACAAAGAAGTTTTGGTTTTTGTGTTAAGACATGTCCTACACCTCTGTAGTTACCAAGACTATTAGAAGGGAGAGAAGACAAGATTTTAGACCTTGTCCATCAAAAGCAGCCACTATCAAAAATCATGGCTACAGCACAACCAAGAAGACAAATAGTTTGTTGCTGTTCCAGTATACTATGTCAAACTCATGTTAAGTAACGTATGCCCTGATTCTTCATTTGGAATGCACTGATTATCTTCTTATGAGATCCTCATACAAGGGTCTGCATCAGACACAAATACATGGCATAAATAGGGCCCTTCCTCTCTCCTAATGACCATGACAGAGGTTCCTAGTGGACCTCAACTCCTTTGTTTCAGTGCCACTTGTCCAGTTTGCCACTACTGATCAACTGGCCTTGGCCCAACGGTGATACCTGCCTGTCACCCTCCTTTGGAAGGCGATGAGTATAAGCATGTCTTAGTGCAGCTGGAACACGTCCTGCCACAGAGGTAGGGACATGGTAGAGGAGGGCACCTGGGGAAGCTCATCTTGAGGAGCTGACCTTTGGAGGAGGCCATGAGCAATGGGCTAGCCTTTGTCACATGAGCTGAGGTTGTGAGCTCTCCTAATATTTTGGCTTCCATTTCCCTGTTGAGCAGATCCTTTGATTTTTTGAGCCAGGTCTAAAATCTGGGTAACGTGAACAGACACAGCTTCTGGGTTGTAGCTTTGATAGGCAGGAGTCCTCTGTTTCCCCTTCCCAGGGGTTTAAGGGCAGATGAGATGGGGCAGTAATTGGGATCAGCTAAGGGGCAGAGCTCAAATACGGCAAGGTCACAGGGGGTAGGGCCAAGGTTCTGTCATGGGAATCCACTGGACTAACCAAGGTCCTAGGTGGCTACTGTCAAGGGAAGCAGATTTCTAGCTTGTTGAAGGCATCACCATTCAGGGTCTCTGTGACAGCACTGACACGTGAAGCCTAAGTGACAGAGTCATATATGGAAGTGGAGTTAGAGAAGCTGGTCATTTCCAGAAAAGATGAAATGACGTGAGTTGACTTCTATGTGTTGGGCACTACCCTAGGCCATTTATGTGTCTCAACCTATTTTATTTCTTAAAACCACCCAAAGAGGAATAATTGATTCTGTTCATTTTATGGTCAAGGAAATAGATATTCAAAGGGAGTAAGTAGGGACCAGTGTTGTGGTGTGGCAAGTTAATCTATTGCCTGCGATGCCAGCATTTCATATGGGTGTTGGTCTGAATCCCAGCTACTCCACTTCTGATCTAGCTCCCTGCTCATGGGCCTGGGGAAGCAGTGGAAGATGGCTCAGGAGATTGGGCTCCTGCATCCAGATGGAAGAACTTGGATAAAGCTCCTGGCTCCTACCTTTGCTCTGGCCCAGTCCTGAACTTTGTCAAGACTATACAGAAGAACTCTGTCTCCCTCTGTCTCTGCAACTCTGCTTTTCACGTAAACAAATAACTCTTAAAAATAGAGTAACCAGCACCCACTGGTGCTTGTAAGAGCCAGAGTGGGTATAGGATGGATTGGGCTAGGTTTTGCCTCCCACTAGGCCATGGGAGAGCTGAGTCAGGGAATGGACTAGGTGTGGCTAGGCTGTAATACCCAACAGAATGGGCCAGTTGGGCAAGACTATCGCTCCTGCCAGGACAAGAGGTGGACTAAGTCAGTCTGAGGCCAACGACCCACCAGTGTGTGTGAGATCTGCCACTGAGAGGAGACACAATAGAGGAGCTTGGGGAACTCCTTTGTCAGGGCTCAGTTCCTGTAGGTGAATACAAGAACCAAGGCTGGGAGCAGCCCAGACCACACCAGATTACAGAATCTGCCAGCATACGTGTGGCTTATATCGGAGGCAGGCCAGGCTAAGCCAGTTCATAACACCCACTAGCAGATCTGAGAAGCAGGATGGGGTGCAGGACACACTGGTTCTGGTCGCAGAAGCAGCCAATTCACATTAGGGCTGGGATGGGACTGGGAGCTGATGATACCGGGTTGGGTGGCAGTTCCCGCCAGCAAGAGTTAGAACAGGGGCAGGCCAGCCTGGACCAGGCCAGGGTACAGCACCCAGTGGCAAATGCCAAGGTGAGATGGACCATGTCAGACTGGGCTGAAGCACCCACCAACACATGTGAAACCAGGTATGAAGGGGGTGAGCACAATAGGGGAGTAGTAGGGATTGCCCTGCTGGGCCCTTGCTCCTGCTGGTGAAAGTGAGAGCTAGGACTGGTGGCAGACCAGGCCTGGCAGAATTATAACACCTGTTGGCCTATATGTGAACTGGATTAGGGGGAGAGCCAGGCTGGGCTAACCAATTATGTCCACTGGTACAGGCATGAGCCAGAGTAAGGGCAGGCTGGTTGGGCTTTGCTGCAGCATCAGCTGGCAAGTGCTGGGACTGGGGCAATTCCTACTGAGCTAGACTGTAGAACCACCTGGAGAGTGCAAAATTCAGGACAGGGAATGGGTCCAGGAGGGGAGACTGTGGGCACTTCTCTGACAGGCTGCAACTCACACTGGTGAGCATGAGAACCAGGACTGGGTACAGGCCTGGCTGGACAAGCACTGGCACCCACTGGCATGAGTGTGGCTGGAGGGTAGAGTCAGTTGGGTTGAGTTAGGCTTCAATGCACAATTATGTATACATGAGCTGAATGGGATGTGGGAAAGACCAGACCAGACCAGTCTACTGCACAAGCTAGCATGCACATGAACCAGAGCTGGGGTCCAGTCCAATAGGGGGTTATTGGAAGGGAGGGTCACTCTGATTGGGCTGCAGCTCCCTCTGGTGTATGTGAGGGCTGAGCATGTGGTGGGCATGGTTGGGCTGGGCCATAGCATCCATTGGTTTGCAGATGAAGGAGGGTAGAACAAATTGATCAACTATCCCAGTAAAGCTTGACAACAAACTTCTGGTCCAATGGAGACTCAGAGGTGGATGATGACAGCCAATTGACCTGGGATGGATTTCTTCATCCTTGGAGAGTCAATATCAACAGTATTTCAGAACTAGCAAAACAACTTAAGCAGAACCCTCGGAACATGCTCCACAACGAGGACCCTGGGATAACATTGGGTACTAGGGTGGTTGGGAGGCTGGGCATTGTCTCTCCCATTGTATAACTCCCACCACATATAGGAAGAAGAAAAAGAAATTGTCTAAAAAAATTAGTGTCTGCAAAAAACTGATGAAGAGAGGGGATGGAGGTAATGGGATTGCAGCGGAGGAATCCAGGAAGTGATGGAAGCATGGTTGTCTCCTTGGAATTGTATGGAACGCATGAAATCTGTTCTCTGTATACTAACAAAATTTTAAAAGACTCAAAAAAAAAAAAATGGAGCAAGCAACTTGCCCAAGATCTTACAAGAGCCTGTAATAGATGGAGTTTGGACTCTAACCTCAAGTTCATGATGTTTGTATTCTATCACATTGCACAGATACAATGAGCCCATGGAGAACAGCAGGAATTTTCTATGGATGAAGCATTTGCTGAACACTCATAGCGCAGCTTATCTAGGAAGCAGACATTGATGGACTTGGTTGGAATTAGTTTGTGTGTGACCATTTTCCCAACATAAGCAGCAGAACAAGTCATTTTCCCTGCCCACAGTAAAAATGAAGTGACTATCCTACAGTAACAGGGAGCACTTTCCAAACCTCTCGCTTCAATCTCCCGGATGCACATGTCCACCACCATGGGCCTCTGGGCATTGTGAGCCTTCACGAGGGTGGTGAGGTCACAGCAGTACACCTTCTTGATCCTCTTGAGGTCAGGTTGGCAGTCGTTGGGCACATGCTTGGAGCACTGCTTGTGCACATTCAGCCCGCAGTCTGCAAACAAAGGAGCCAGTTAGTCATGTCTGCATGTCTGTTAGAGCCCAGCACCAACCGAACGCTGCCAAACGCAAGAACAACAACATGAGCGTGCACGACATGTACCCCATGCTCGGCAAGGCAAGCAGGCGAATCTTCCTGCATCTTCCTCACAGAGCCCTCCCTGGGCTGGGCCGTGTACAGAATGCCTGTTCCAGAGCTCGCTCAGGTTTTTAGCCAGCATGTCTGGATCTGTTCTTTCTTTCTGGACTGGAATGTTTTGGGGACACAGGTGTGATTTGGGAGTTTGGACTCAGTCTAGATCCAGTGTCTAGGACTTCCACCAGGTTGTTTCCTGCAAAGTCTTGATGCCCCTGTTGTGGAAGAGAGATTGTTTCTCTCTGTAGGAGTCTCTACTCCTGGGTTTGGGGAGTCCAACTCCATCCTGTGCTTTCCTAGAGAAGCAGTCCCTACTTCCCAGGCCCTTCCTCTTAGGGCCTCCCCTGTGGTAGGACATTTTTCCCCTACCTGCCTCATTCTGACACCTGGGAGTGGAAGTCATGTCTAACTGTAGCCTAGTGGGAGTAATTGAGAGTTTATAATTCATAACAAAGCCATGTAATATGATGATTGGAGTAATTATTTATAAAGCACATATCAAGATGCAAAGCTGGAAAGGTGCTTTGAAGTTCAGTGAACACATTAAAAGCCTTGTTAGCAGTTGGTATCCACTGATGCAATCTCTCAGACAATAAAAAGGCACAATCTACATTCTGGAAAATAAAACTTTAATGCTTATAGTTGTTCAAATTTGGTCTATCATTCTCTACTCAAACTATCTTCTAATATTGTCTTCTACACACAAGGAATATCATTCTCTGTGTGTATACATACACACACACACATATATATATGATTTAGGATGAGTAAGATTCCAATGTACATTTATAATACATTTTCTTTATCCATTCATCCATCAATGGACATTTGGGTCTGTTTCTGCGTTTGGCTATTGTGAATAACACTGTTGTGAACACTAGTGTTCAGACATCTGTTTGAGATCCTACGTTCAGTCCTTTTGGGTATTTTTCCAGAGGTAGAATTGCTGGATCCAACAGCAATTCTATTTTTAAGGTTCTTAGAAATTGCATTTTAAGTTCTGAAGCGCCAACATGCTTATGTAGCATAATTCTGAGATATTATGAAGATGCTTTAGACTTTGCATAAAATGTTCAGTTTTTGTGAATTACTAAATGCCATATGCTATAAGGAAAATCTAGCTTAACAGTTTAAAGATACAGAAAGCTGAGAGGCTATGATGAATCTTTCACCATATAATGCCCAGTTTTCCTGCTATGTAGAAAAAGAGTGGCCATTGCAGGATACTAACAAAATAGTCTCAGACTGTGTCTTATTTTGGTTAAGAAAGCAGAAATAGAAAAAAATTCCCAGATCTTTTCAACCCAGAGAAAGCTGCTGATCACAGCTAATGTGAATCCCAGAGCTTTGTTCTCATAATATTGACTTTGGACCAATTTCCTGCTGAAATTGGATAATACCAACAATTAGGGATATTTTCAGTAGGTATAACCCAGAGAGGTCAAATTAATGAGTAATTCAGATATTCTACCACTTTGCTCAGTGGTTGAACCTTCAGAAGCTTCCTGACTCCTGGCAAGTCAGTCTTGTGTCACTCATGGAACCAGAACATGACCAGAGAGGCTGCCTCTGAGCCCATGTTTAACCACTCATGTCTTGGCCCTGGACTGGAGAAGGTAAAGTTTTCTAGTCCAAGTAAGAACTACTTGAACCACCCAGATTTTGATACCTGTGATGACTGTGCCTGTACAGTACTTGCTAAGAAAGCCCATTCAAGGTCCCGTTGTGGTTTAAGGTTGTACAATCTTGTGGCCTCCCAGACTGCTAATACGGGAAAGAAGATCTGTCACCTTCTTATAGCGCCAATGGCTCCTTTTAAATGAATCACAAAATTATTTTTGAAGATCCTACTCCAGAAAAGAGGAAATCAGTCATGGAGCAGCAGGTGGACCCTGATCAACACACTCTCCATTCAGAACAGATGCTTGGAGACGGGTCACAAAACCACTTGCCCATGGATGTGTGTGTGTGTGTGTGCATCTAATTCTTTTTTTAAAAGATATATTTATTTTTATTGGAAATGCAGACATCTAGAGAGGAAGAGAGACAGACAGGAAGATCAGCTGTCTGATGGTTCACTCCCCAAGCAGCCGCAACAGCTGGAGCTGAGCCAATCTGAAGCCAGGGGACCAGAGCTTCTTCCGGGTCTCCCATGTGGGTCCCAAGGCTTTGGGTTATCTTTGATTACTTTCCCAGGCCACAGGCAGGGAGCTGGATGGGAAGTGGGGCTGCCAGGATTAGAACCGGTGCCCATACGGGATCCTGGTGCGTGAAAGGTGAGGACTTTAGCTACTAGGCTATCGTGCCGGGCCCGTATGTATCTAATTCTAAGTGGAAAGATGTCTGGGGTTCTGACTACTTTGAAAACATGAGATCTGAGGTGTGTGCTCTCAGTGCCCATCTGATGGTAGAGCAGGCTGAATTTGGGGCCTGGAGTCCATCTCCCCTTGTATCAGTGTCCACAAATTACTCTGTGGCCAAGGGCAATTAACAATGACCTTTCATTCTTGCTTATTCCCCTTTTTAAGAGGAGATAATCACCCTCAAAGTTCTTGATAAGGCTAAGTGTAAGCAGAAAACATGGCCTGGATCCAGCATCATGATATGGCGATTTGGGACACTGCAGGTGATGCTAGCATTCCATATAGGTGCTGGTTTGAGTCCTGGCTGTTCTACTTGTGATTCAGCTCCTTTGCTGGTGGCCTGGGAGGGTTAGTGAAGGATGGCTCAGGTGCTTGGGCCCCTGTTGCCCATGCAGGAGACACTGAGGTAGCTCCTGGCTTCCCAGTCTTGTTTGTTGTGCCTACCTGGAAGTGAACCAATAGGTGGTAGCTCTCACTCCCCCCAACCATCATATAAATCAAATAAGTAAGTAAGTATATCTATCTTAAAAAAAATCTAAACATGTTGGCCTAGTGTCTGGCAGGTGGCAAATACTCATCATCACCATTACTACTTTTGTTCTAAGCCAGGTTTGGAGAAAAGAATGGTTTTTCTTTCTACGTCATTCCAATGGAATTGACTTTTTTGGGGGAAGCAGGTTGATGCTTATGGAAAGAGTTTTGCTTGCTCCCTTTTTCTTTCCTTTTATACATATGAGATATCCCTTTTTATTCTTGGCAACATGTAGAATAGTCTCCCCATTGAGTACCAAGAGGCCCGCACATCTCCATAAAGCTTGTCTTGGAACCAGTCTACAACTATTTTCCACTCTAGATAGAGACGCCCTCCAGCTCCACACATTGGTACTTAACCCAACTGAAAAAGGAGAAAGAAAGTCACAGACTTACCTGAGCATCGGACCCCCTGGGCAATGAGTCCCCACATGAAGTTGGCACAGTATTCACACCAGTGTGGGCCTCGGAATGTGTGCACCTGCAACCCACACAGGACAAAGTTGTCAGCAACTTTAGTTACCTGGAGGCCAGTGGCCTTGGACATGAAACACACAGAGGAAGTTAAGGAGCAAAGAAAGCCCTCAGCAGAAATGACCCTCACCAGGTCTCTGCACTCCAGGGCAGCAGTAGCCAGGGGATACAGAGAAAAGAGCTGTCTGTGCTTTGATCATTGAAGTCCTGCACTGGCCAACCATGGCCCAGGCTGAAAGGAATGTGCAGAAACAATAAGGGCACAGAAGCACACTGTCAGCTACAGAAGGGGACTCTCACTAACCCCAACATAGCAATGTGCACATAAACCCAAGATAGCCTGTGTCGGTCGCCACAACCTGCATTTAGCTCAGCAAGTTCTGGAAAACAGAGCTCAATTATTGTGTCCTTTTGACTGTCGTGGCCCCATCTGAGGAATATCCAGACAGGTATAAATAAGGCATGATTACAGGATAATTAAAAGGTTCCAAAGCTTTGAGCCACTTCCAAAGAAGGCGTTTAAAAAAAGCAAGGGAGTTGGAGGAAAATGCAGGTTACCAGGAGGGCCTATGAAAGTACTTTTTGCACAAGGATAGGGTCTACATTCAGTAGGCCCTTTTGCGTGTGTGTTGTGTGTGTCTATGTGCTGGCCAGTGTGCCAGACTCACTGGGGTTCATCCCATCAGTTATATAATACTCCAAATATCACATCATAGGAACGGTTTTGCTCTGGTTGCTCTAGGCACAGGCCCTCCTGTGACAGGCCCATGTATTAAGTCATGATTTAAGACAGAAACAAGATAAAACACAAGTACTTGTTTCCTTTGCACCAAAGAACACCATTTGTAAAAAAGAATGGGGGAATCCTTGCAAGCCACTGTGGCTGTGAGCTGCCAGACCCGCCAGGAGACCTATCCAGGCACATGAACTTATGAAAGGGCTCTGAAGTTTTACAACACTGAAATAGTATAAAAGGTCTTTCAAGATCTTCAACTTCTCTTAGTAGATAAAAACGCAGATATTGCTATTTTCTTAAACAAACTGGGATACCTGTATATGAATTGTACTTCACAAGAAAATCAGGGTGATAAGCATGGTCATAATTTGAAAAGCTGCTTATCACAGCACTCCTTCAGAAGGAGAGAATCAGACTCAAGAAGGCGGAATAGGGTAAGGTCACATTTAAACAGACAGAGAAACATTAGCCAGTGTTAGGAAGAGAGGGCAAATTCCAGGAAATAGGAGAGGACAGAATGAAGCAGAGGGGCACCTGGAGACCACTGACACGGGAAAACAGCAGACAGAATGGTGTGGTGTTGCAGCAGTCAGCAAGCAGTGGTCTGAACTGCAGTAGCCAGAACTCCACCAGCAATAAGGGAAAGTAATCCGACTTTGGCATCATAAGGGGCAAAATAGGTCTGTTTGGCCCCCAAACCTAAGAGTCAACAGGTTCCAGCAAGATCAGCACCACCAACAACCTAGCTATATAGGACTATTGGTGTCTCTCTAATCCTGGGACCTGCTCCAACCGGAAGTGGGAGAAAGGTAGTACAGACAACAGTGTAGCTTCAGCATAGTATCACAGAAGGTGGAGAGTGGTGAGCCAGGAACTGGGGCTATGGAAAGCATGCTGGAAGTCTAACATAGAACCCAGACCTGGAACTCACCGGAGGGAGTGGCACAAGTGACTGCAAACAAAGAACTGTGTACCAACCACAGTAAAATCGAATTGTACATCTGTGGGTGACAGCTTAGAAACCTGCCCCAAGGAGAAGAACCTGCTAGCCAGAAGTACAATGACCAAGAGCAAAACAAGAGACAAAATCACAATGAATATTGCTGAAAACTTCCCCTGCAAAGGAGCAAAAGCCTTTGCTAACCTCAGAATTAACTGAGGAAGACACCAAGAAAATGGAGGATACAGAATTCAAAACACTTGTTATAAAACTTTTTGTCAACAACAAGAAGCATGTAAATCAGACATTCAAGGAATCCAAAGGACATGTCACACTGGAAATGAATCAAATGAAAGTTGATACATCAGAAATTAAGAGTACAGTGGAGCAAATTAAAACTACAATGGAGAGTCTCAAAAATAGAATGAAGGAGGCAGAAGAAAGAATCTCAAAATAAGAAGATATTTCCTGTCATCAGAGGAAAACAAACAAAAATCTGGAAGCAGAGCTGGATTAGGCCAAAAAAAAAGTATTCAAGAATTGAAAGACATTATTAAAAGGCCAAATATAAGAGTTATGGGAGTCCCAGAAGATGCAGAAAGAGAAGCTGGATTTACAAATGTACTTAATGAAATAATACAAGAAAATTTCCCTAACTAGAGAAAGAATTGGAAAACAACATCCAGGAGGGGCACAGAACTCCCAACAGGCTTGATCAAAGGCAATCTTCACCACGACACATGATAATCAAGCTCTTTAATCGAACATAAGGAAAAGGTTCTTAAATGTGCACATGAAAAAAAAAATCAACTGACATATAAAGGAATGCCAATTAAATTCACATGAGACCTTTTACAGGCAATTCTATAGGCCAGAAGAGAATGGAGTGACATATTCCAGATTCTAAAAGCGAAAAATTGTCAGCTTAGGATAACATACCCAGCAAAGTCTTCCTTTGTCTTTGGAAATGAAATAAAATTCTTCTACAATAAAGAAAAGTTAAAAGAATATGCCTTTTTCAAATCTGCCCGACAAACCATACTTAAAGATGTTCTCTTGACAGAGAAGAGGAATAGCACTCACCAAAATCAAAGGCAAATGTGAAGAACATCCCAGTAAAATAACAACAGAAGACTAAATTAATAAACAACTCATTACTAAAATGACAGGACCAAATTACCACCCATTGATAGTATCCCTGAATGTAAATGGATTAAACTCGTCAATCAAATATCATAAATTAGTAGGCTGGATTAAAAACAAAACCTATCTATTTGTTGCCTACAAGCGACATTTCTCACCAACAAAGATCAGCAGATACTATATCTCATAGATTTTGATTTTTTTTAGTTTCATCTCTTCAAAATATGTTCTTAAGTTCTTCACTGAGTCATAGGTCATACAGTAACATGATTTTCTTTAACAAGGTTCTTGATTTTCTTTTTCATTTCTTCAGTGACACATTAGTCATTCAGTATCATATTATTTAACTTCATGGTGTTTTTAATTTCTATTTTTCTTCCTGTTGTTGATTTTGCTTTGTGGCTTTTCATTTGACGGGATTTACAGTAACTGTGTAATGGAGACTATCATATCCAGCAGCATATTATTTAACTTCACGGTGTTGTAAATATCTATTTTTCTTCCTGTTGTTGATTTTGTATTGTGTCTTTTCATTTAAGGGGATGTATAGTAACTGTAATGGAGACTATCATATCCAGATGTGAGGATACAATGCAGTATGTATCTCTACTTCCAGATCAAATATGGACTCCTAATGAAACTGTTAACTACATCTTGACAAAAGGATGCTGGGCTCTCTGCCATTGTCCATGCCCACAATGATGGACACATGACTGTTCATGAAGAACTATATTACAGTGATAATATAGGGGAATTCAGTGAGGGTTAGGGAAGGAACTTGGGGAGGGGTTAAGGGAAATCCCAGGGCCCATGAACCTGTACCATAAAATAATAATAATAAAAATTACAAAAGAAAAAATAAGGAAAAAAGAAAAAAAACATCATTTGAGTCATGCATTCACACAGGTTGTCCATGTATGCACATAAAACGGTAAAGTAAACACACCTGGTTTCCCATAACGAAACTGACAGAGTGAAAATAGCGAGAGAAAGTAAGCAAGTCCATAAATCAAAAAGAGCAACTTAAGGCCACGATTTCTTGCAATAAAACTGAATTATAACATCTCCCAGTATTTTTGCTTATCCCACACAAAGCATCCATTGCTTTGACATGAGGGGAACAATCTTTCATAATTCTGAGATGGAGAAGTATTCTGTCAGGGCAGGACTCTAACAAGTGACTAAACACTCAACGCCTTGTAGGAATGCAGACAATCTGTCTTGGGGAGCCCTGACATCTCACGGTGCCAAGTGCCATGATTCATTAGGTCCACCAAAACCAGCCTTGGCATGGAAAGATTTTCTCAGCAGAGTGCCCTTTGAAACAACAAAACAATGGGAGCAGATGTTGCACTAACTGGTTAAGATGTCACCTCCCATATCACAAACCTGGGTTAGGTTGTTGAGGGCATTCGGGGAGTGAGCTAGCTAACAGATGGGAGTACTCTTTTCTCTGTCCCACACTTCTCAAGCTAACAACAATTATTATTATTTTAACAAAAATTAAACCTTTTCCAAATTATCAGCCATAGTTTCCTTAATGTTTTGTCTACAAATGCTGTAAAGCTGCTGGTTAAGGGCAGAAGCAAAGGTGACTTAATTTAATGTTGCAATGGCAAGATCAATGAAAAATCAGTGACACGAAATCTCTGCCCCCTAAAACAGTGTGACAAAGGCTACACAAGAAAAAGGATGGGCTGCTATCAGAGAGAATAGGAGGGTCCAAAGCCGTCTGGGTTTCAAGCTGGCCTCTCTCGGAATAAGACCACAAGAAAGAGCTGGCTTTGTGGTGGGAGGGAAAGCACAGAGACCTTACATGTAGGAGCCGAGGAGCTTGGTGCGACTAAAGAACTGGACAGCTAGGGTGACAGGGGACAGATGGACTTGTAGATATGGAGGATCCAAAAGGTGAACGAGATGGGAAAGGAAGAAGAGATGGAAGTGAAGTGAAGGAGGAAAGTTGAGACATGACAGGCTTAGGGTGTCTGGAAGCCAAAGTCAAAATCAAAACTCAAGATATTTCCACGGTTAATAAAAAACATGAAAACTTCACATTAAGAAATGCTAACTGAATCTCAGGCAAGGTAAATAAAAATGATCTATTTTTATGCAGATTAGAGTGAACCACAGAATGCCAAAAGATAAGCACAGCTTTCAAAACACAGGCCACCTGCGAAAGGATAGAAGT